AGTTTCATGTCAGTCAGAGAGCCCTGATTTCCATGGGCGGGACATGATTCAGGTGATCCAAAACACTAACACTCAACACTTCACAGTAGCATGGGCTTCGATCGATAACCAATATTTGATGGATGCTGACATCAGTCATGCCACCTAAAGTAACCCTCTGTAGGATCCAGTATCTACTGTTCAACTACGTAAAGATACCTCGAACTCCAGCCTACTTGGACTTCCTATTCACGTCAAGCTTACTTAGTTCATCGTGCAATGATTCAGGCATAAAGTATCTATCTCTGTGTGTGTGTTGAAAACTCTCATGATTAGTGTTCTCAGTGACTGGCTGGCTGATGGGGTTGATTTGTCCGACAGTGCTGTGTGTCAGGCGGTCTCAGCGTCCACACTGGAGAACATGAGTGAAGGAGCGGATAATTGATAGTGACAAGGCGCTCCCAGCCTTAATTGCTGCTGGTGAATTAGATTACCTTTTCAAAGTGCCTTCATTAGCAGAAGGGAGAGCTATACCAATGGTCCCCTGATTGGCCTCATATTGTTTTGCTGTGAACCTGCTCTGGCAGGGCGCAAGGATGTGTGTGTACATTTGTGAGGATGTGTGTTTGTTTTGGATTGAAATTGCTCTCTAATTTTCATCTGTAGTTTGACTGTGTGTACATGTGTGTGAGTTATGCACATCCAGTGTCAATAATGTCAAGTTGTCAAAGTGACACATTTAGTAGGAAGTGTGTCTCTTGTCTAATTGGCCATTGACTGCTACCACACATTTAAATGATTGGTTCACACAAAATACAAAAAAACTGATTATTTGAATTGGTTTGATTTGACCACGTTTTGAGATATCTGCCTCTACATTATACTGTCACCCCAGTACAGTGGGAATCAATGGACAATTGCAATTTGAGGATTTAATAATAATGATAATAATAATACATTTTATTTAAGGGTGCCTTTCATGACACCCAAGGACATTGTACAATTGAGTAAATACTCTAAGAGGTTAAAAGCAACAGAACATGATACAACACTAACATGTAATCACAGCAATGTGCCTGTGCAGCACCTCTTTTCACCCTCTGTCTGAAACCAGAGCCCAGTCTGCTCTGATTGGTTAGCTGGCCAGCTCTGTTGTGATTGGTCAGCTGCTTAGAGATGACTTGCCCATTAGTCTATCACGTACAGTACAATGTGTTGGAGCGCAAGTGATACATAGTGATGTCGCTATGTCACAGAAGTAAACAAAGCAGTCCAATGGAGCCGTTTAGAAACTCCCTCTGGCCTGAACTTTGTTTTTAGACTGGCAGACCATTAACATGCACTAAAACGTAAAACACACTACAGGAAAGGGAAAACCCCAACAAGCAAACGAGTTTCTTTGTTGTTTTCTTTGTCTTTTTGTATAGTAGGAAGATGACTCGACTGCGAAACGCTGCGGTAAATACTAGCCTTATGTAAAAGGTACAATGTGTCTTTCACAAAACAGATATATGCACTTGATTGGGTTCATCTTGTCCACATCCTCTGCCTTACACATTTGCTCGCTGCTATAGTGTTTGAGTGTGAATTCGTATTTTTAAGAGCTTTTGATGAAACACTATATAATTGCAGACCATTTACTGTCACTTAAAGAGCCACAGGATCAGAGCCATGGAGAGCGCAGTGCCGATATTCTGTTGGTTACCAAGAGAAACAAAGATACTGTTTCTCAAAAGACATAATGCTGTTGAGTTAAAATGGCTTTTTACAATGCCTCTGCAATTATATTCTCTTTCCCTCCATTGTGTTGATGTGGAGCCAGACATCTCAGATATAGATATCTCAAAACTTAGAACTGAGATGAAGTTCACTGGGAGAAATACCATTCATAGTTTTTGGAAAAGTACCATTTTAATTTCTAATTTGACTTAAATCTTGTATCTACCCTTTACATCTACAGTTCCATTGTAATGTCTCATTGTGCCTTCAGTAGAGATGCATGTTGACAGGCATTAATTACAGAGTATCTTTCAATGTTATGACATTAAGTGTGCCTTTTTATAGAAATCATGTCACAGCAGGACTGTTTTTTCTTTATGCCAAAGCAATCCATGGCCTCACATAACCTTCAATAATAATGATTTAATAAATACTCTTCAATACATCCATTTATCAAAAGTGATGATACTCGATAGCGTTACGTTTCAACCAGAATAACCCTGTACTTTGATATTTCTAAAGAAAAGATAAACATGCTTTTGGCTGTTTTTAGCCAGGATGGCATGGTTTAGCTCGCAGCTATTGGCCTCAAGCACTTTGATTTGATATTACATGTGATTGGCCAATTACTGCAGCAACAGAGTTTTGGTAAAGTCAACCCCGGTGTATTTAATGGAATCTTTTTCAGGACAACCCAACTTTATCAGTCATCTCCTTTTTACAGTTAAGGCTTTAAGGGGACTTTTCTATTTATGGAAAGACACATTTCAGTGATCTTGTTAAACAATATCCAAATATCAATTTCATTTCCTAGTACTAGGCAAGGCAAGGCAAGGCAAGTTTATTTATATAGCACTTTTCAACACAAGGCAATTCAAAGTGCTTTACAAAAAATGAAAGACATTAAGAAAATGGCATTTAAAATCAGTCATTAAACTAGAAGAAACATTTTTTTTTCCAAGATAGATTTAGTTATTTTTTACTTTCTTCTATCTTCTGAGATCAAAGGTCAAAGTTAGTTACATCACCATATTGGAAACAAAACGGTCTTCAACAAGGAGGATGTTGCTTTTATAAAATCTTCAGTCAATCAGTCAACAAAGAAACACCCTAAATGCTATGGAAAGAGATACAGTGGAAGGGAATTTGCAGAGAGAGGAGTTCCTTCCATGCACAGATGGTGACATGTGCATCTTCTTAAAAAAAATGTCCCAAAACCAGAAGTCCAAACCCCCCTGCAGCACTGGTTTCAGCTCCAGTCATCCTCCCTCATCTTATTTCCATATCTTTCTCCAGTCACTGCTCCGTCACCAGCCCCCAGAACCCTCCCTATCCCCCCAGAAAACCCGACGGCATCCCCATCTCCATCCCTGTCACAGCCTTCATCCCCTCCCCAGCCAGCACACCGCTCCCCTGCTGAGTTAAATGGAGTGTGCCGGCGTCTGGGGAGTCGCGTGTGCTCAGTTGAGCTCGGCTCAGCTGGGCTGCCAGCGTTATAAACTTACTGTGTGATTATTGTCAGAGCGAGACTCCTCCACCCAGGAGGTCTGCGCTGATGGGTACTGTGTCACTGGGTACAGCCGGCCATGGAGGGTGGGATGAGAGAGCAGAAAGGAGGTTATAGAAACCAGGGGTGAGAGAAGGACATGAAGAGAAATGCTGTCGGTGGGGGTGATGGAGAACAGAAGTCAAGGGAGGAAAGGATGGAAGAAGAATGGAGGAACAAGCAGGAGGGCAGGGAATCATCAAAAGAAGAGAAAAAAACAAGCTGGGCGAGGAAAGACTGATGTGTACCTATCTTGGCAGACAAAGACAAGGGAAGACACACAGGGAGGGATATAAAAAGGGAGAAGCAGAAGAATAATGTGCTCGGAGAAGAAAGAGAGGCAGCAGGGAAATCAGCAGAAAGAGGGAGAGACAGGGCCGAAGAGAAAGGCAAAGAGAGAAATTAGAGAGAACACTTTCAAGCGAGTGATGTGTGCCGTGATTGTTTTCTCTCCTTCTTTCTCTCTGTCTCGCTCTAAACGGTTGGTCGGGATGTGGCCTGTATCTGCCGGCAAGAAGGAACTCAATTTGGGACAATTTACTCTGCAGTCTCAGCCCTGATGCACCTCAGGGACAGAGAATGGAGAGAATGAATGTGAAGGGAGATAGAATCAGCAAGCCACACACACACGCACATGAACACACACACAATTGCCGGCGAGTAGATTTCACTTAGTTAGTTCTAACTCTCCCAGGCGGTCAATACGATTTGAGTTTATAAGGCTTGGAAATGAAAAGCCCAGGATAAGGTTAGATAAACTGTGTGCTATTTGATTTCTGCCCACCTTCTTGCAGAAAAACCCACACAAGACAGATGGCCAGAGGGGATATGCTGATATCAAGTTGTGCAAAGGGTCATGTGGTTGATTAAGGCAGGAGAACGTTATGTGTTTTGACCTTATTGGTCCCTGCAATGATGAAAACTTAGATTTTCCTCGCATCTTTTGCCTTCCAAATTCAGAGTTCTGGAGGGTACACAATTTAGACAAATTCTTAATTAAAAAAAATCTAACTTCATTGACCTGAAAATACGGTGGCCAACCTGTGCAAAAGCGCTAAAAAGGTCCAAAACACTTGAAATGCGGTGCACGTTCAAAAATGATGTAAATTTAAAATATGCCAAAATGCATCCAATTTAAGAAACGTCATCACCAACTTGAAAAAAAAACCTGACTAACTATATACTTTATATATCCCCAAGTGTCAACAAGCGCTCAGGTCCCAACTCTGTGCATCACTTTTTAGTGTCCCTGTTTCCGTTGTGGTTTGAGCTTCTTGCAGCGTTTTGTATTCGCAGTGTTTCATTTATTAAACGATGCGCATGTTTCATCTGGTTGGTGAATGTTTTCTGAAAATTGCACAAAGATTTTTCTTCATTTACAAGGTTTTTGCCACATTTGTTTTATTAACATCATTGTTGAACATTACTTTACATTACATGTCACTTGTTAGACGCTTTTATCCAGCGTCTTAGCGACTTACATACATTCAGTACTGTGGGCAATCCCCACAGGAGCAATTTGGGGTGATGTGTCTTGCCTTGGGAGACAACGACATGGTGACTGCAGTGGGACTGGAACTTGCTCTCCCCTGATCCGAAGATCAGGGCGCTACTCCACTGAGCCACAGTCTCCCTAAACCTGCAGCATGTTTCTCCTAATAGAAGTGTTTTAGGCCGCGTTTGCACTTGTCGGCCACCGTAGAAAAATGATGAGTTTTGTATTCTGACCGCACCATTTGTTTCTATACACTAACAGGTGGGCAGCCTGGAGGATGTTTACAGCCTTAAAGACAGCAGGGGGCGCCCTGACAGAGCCGCCTTTGAGAACACACTTTCCACTGCAGTAGGGGTGAGTATTTTACCTATTGTATCAAATAAACTCTGCTCAATAGAATACTCATCACACGATTAATAGAAGGGGATCAAGCCGCAGGTTCCTAAAAGAAGCCGCTCTGAGGTTGTTTTTTTAGTTTTTTTTGGCCTTACTCGCACTGTCTCTGTAACACAGCGGGAAATGGATTTGTAACTACATCAAATCAGAGCGTTCAGCTACTTAGACGTGACTGTTTGATACATTCAACACGGCCACGTCAAGGTGAATTCACACTGTGGCATCGGTTCTGATTTCACACAGCATGTATATGCAAATGGAGGTTCATTTGGCTGCCGTTGCTGTTTTAATCAGGGTCTAGTGTTGATTAGCGACAAGGATGCAAAAAAAAAAAAGAAACAGATCCATGTGGTGAGTAATGGCTGAAAGTTGTTTACCTTGCTCGTGTGCCTGTTCCATCCAATATCACTATATGCCTTGCCCCCCAAACCCCCCCTCGCCACCTTCAACAAGCCGTTCTGCATCACCCTTCGGAGCGCACAATGCAGCCTCCTCAAAGGGCTTTTGTTGCCAGGGAAACCGTCACCCACGGAGACATCCCATGACAGCACGGGGAGAGGGAAGAGTGGGGGGGATGCAGCTTTTGGCCCTGGTCGTTCTCCGGGGTGCACCAGACCTCTGGCCCTTCCGCAACACACTGCGCCTTCAGAGGCACACACACTCTAAAAACACAAGGCAGCAGTATACCAAAGAAAACCACACACAAGCAGAAGAAAGAAATGGACAGAGAGTTAAAGAGAGAGAAGATTCCCAACTTTCTGATTCAGAGTTATCATCTGAATCAGTGTGCGTGTGATTAATTGAAGTAATTTATTCACAATCTCCAGTGACTCCATGTATGGTTCATGATTTCATTAAACTGTAACTTTAATTACTTTTCTACAATCGTAACTTTAGGTGAAATGAATTTCCACGCCTTGAATGTCCCACATATCGTAATGAGTCTTACATTTAATGGATTGCACAAATAATGTTTTGGGATAATGAACAATTGCATACTTAGACATTGCATCCTTAGCAGGCAGTTGTATTCTTAAACACCTTGCATCGTTTTTTGACTATATTCTAGTCTATTTGACTATGTGGACTAATCAATTTAGCATTGAGGCAAACATCTCTATCAATAACCTTGAAAGGAAACCTTTTTATTTGCTAAAATAATGCCGTAGTCTTTTAAACTACCAGACTATTAGGATCTGCTTTTATAGTATTTTTAGGCTGAAAACAGTCAATATTGTCATATGTGCATGGGAGATGTATTTATGGGGGGTTATGTGTTGCCAAACACAATTACAGTGTGTTGGCTACAGCTGTTGGCCGGCTGCCAAAGCTGGAGCTGTACTCCATCCGCCCACCTCTGACCAGGCCGCTGTCTGCACAGAGCTGCATGCTGCCTTTCACTCCGCATCGTGCTGTGCATTGCATGGCAGGTGGGTTAGATTAAGGTGCATAATCATTTTTTATTAAGTCGTAACCATGAGACATAATTCATGTTTTTAAATATTAGTGTTTAGAGGTGGCTACTAGTTAGCAAACAATGCTTAAATAAGATGTAAAGTGTGCTACTTTTGGAATGAATTTAATGAGTTACCATTAAGGACTTAGTTACCGGTGCATCATTGTGCAGCAAAGGCTACGAAGACTGTGTTTTCATGCGTTAGTGAAGCTGGATGATTGTGTCAAAGTTCCAAATTCAAAATAAACTTGATTAAAATTCCCAAACTGGCAAAATCCGGTTAGATCTTCAGAAAATGATATAAGACGTCAATATTGCATCCTCTGAGGCCATCATAAAAGGTCAGAAACCTTCTCTTCTAAACATCACAAAGAAACAACATATTTTATTAATCTGCCGTCACTAGAGGATGGATGTCAAGGTAACATGCTCTAGAGAGCGTCAGATAATATGAATATACCTTCATTTTCTCCTTACCCTAGTCCAAGCCAGCCTCACAGAAGGTTTTTCCGACCACCAGCGTGGCACAAACTTGACATTTTGTTTTAGATTTGAACATGGCCAATGGAACAGAAGTCATGTACTTATACTATCCCATGACACTGTGTATGACTTTCTTATGACATCTGCTCCTAAAGTAAAAGACAAGTGTATCTATTGTGCGAGACTTTGTCCCACAATCAGTCATTTCAATAATAGTCAGCAGATGATGTTGCTTAGCTGTGATTTCATTTGGTTTCAAGCAAACATGAACACATCGTCTTATAACAAAAACATTGTAGGAACATGTACAGTTTCAATATATAGTGTTCTATGAAGACTATGTTAGTAACTATGTAACCCTTTCTCTCATGTACTTAAATAAAAACTATATTTATTTAAACAGATTTATTCAATTATTGCATGTTCTATTTGTATTTGTCTATGTTATTTACAGTAGCATATTATGCAATAATAGTGTACAAAAGTTAATATTTATTGTGCTTAATATAATGCAACAATATGATCAATACAAAGTGAAACAAAAATGATATTGTCAAACCATTGCCAACAAATGAAGATTCATTGTGAAATATCAAAACATTTCCTGTTACATCTCAGTTGCTGTTCTTTTTCAATTCTTCATGAAAGTGAAATAGTTCAGTTACACTCATGAACATGATTAATGGTGTTCCATAACAAAGGAATAATAAAAAACACTTCATAAATCAGTGCAATCAAAAGCTGGCTGAGTGGAAGCAGTCCAGTGGAATAGCTCTCTGAGGCTCTCACATGTGTAGAGCTGTACTATAATAACACACGCAAACACACACACACACACACAGTGTAGGTCCATAGTGGTTTCTCAGAGGAGGGGGAGGTTTTGCCACCATGTAATCCCGGTTGTCAGCATCCCTCTGTCAGCAAAGCAACAATCAGCTGTTGTATTAATCGCCCTGCTAATGACACAATTAGCAAGGCTCTGGGAAATACAGCTCCACGCAAACATGTGAGGGCTCGGAGACAACATGCCACATGCAGCATCAACACATGCATTTTGACTTAAACAAATACGAAGCAAGACCTGCCATTAACATGATCAAAATACATGCATACAGGAATATATACACACAGGGACAACACAGGTATACAAAATATGGCGTCCTTAAGATGCGAGATAATAACATCCAATTGTGTCCTTCTTTCTCCCTGCCTCTACTTTGTTTACTTCAGGCTCCACCTCCCCTTGTTTACCCTCTCCCTAACTGTCCTAACTATCAGACCTCTTGCCTTTTCATTCTCAAACACACAGACATGTCTCTGACTGAACTCTACACTGACCTTTAACAAAATGTCTCAGATACAAACCCCCTGCCAGCTCCTGACATACACTCCCCGGTCCCTGCTGGTGTACACACACTTAACACACACATTCTGAAAACCACTGTGCACAGTTTGTCCCCGTCGTCTGACTTCTTTTTCTTTGTCTTAAGATATGTCTAGTTAGTCTAACTACAGCTGGGTGTTATTGTTGCTACCTCCCTAGCAGTGAGAGAAGTTGGAAACATAAGCAGCTGCACTGTCATTACGTTGTCAATTCATAAGCGAAAATGTAATTGAAGTTATGCAAGGAGAAGCAAGCTATTCCCATAGAAGAACGTGGAAACATGAGAGGTCAAGGTCAACCAACCAACCAACCAACCAACCAACCAACCAACCAACCAACCAACCAATCAAACAAACGTGACTCTTTTCGAGGGGTTACCTCCTCAAGCCAATCAGTGTAAGGTTGTCTTATCTGTGGCAAATCTTATATTAAGCAAACATTCTTGTGTCTTTTGCACATACATTTTTTTCCCACAATGCATTATATTTGATAGAAAAAAAGAAGGTCACAATACAATAAAACAACACTAAATCTGTGAGATATATAATATTCAGTATAAACATTATGTATACGTGTCCCAAATCTATGGGATGGTAATTGAGTAGACAAATTAGGGATTTTGGACACAGTCTCTCACCTTTTTTACCGTGTAATGAAAACGTGCATGCATGTACTCAACTAATCACAATAATGACTCCAAAAGGTGCCTCTCCATGTGCGAGGTTGATTAAAAATATATTCATTTTGTTTGTTTTGTCTTTGTTATTTTGTAAAGCAAAGTGACCTACTTGCGATGTCCAATTAGCTCGAGTTCATACTAGCTCACTAGATTTGCTTTGTTTGGAAGCATGGTTTAATGCTGAGCTAGTTTAGTGCAATTACTTAATGATCAACATTGTTTATTAAACTTGGTATTTGATGCTGCAGTCATGACAAAACAAAGTAGACAATCTTACAATTGGGCTCTTTAGCTTTGCACATTTAGACTTTAGAACGTTATCCCACTCTTCTCTGCTAACAAGTGGAAGACCCTACAAATTGCAAGAGAATCTCCTGTGTACAGCTCTCTTTAGGTCATTCCAGTGGGATGAGGGTTCCAATACTTTGATTATGATTCTTTGAAGCCATGCCTTGGTGGACTTTGATATGTGCTTTGGATCATTGTCATTTCAGGAATTTCATATTCCTCTTCATCTTCAGATTTCTGACAGAGGCCAGTAGGTTTTGTTCCTTTTTGGGAAAATCATTATCCTGTCTATCTTCACAAGACATGACATATCTGAAGAGAACAGCCCCAAAGTATGATGCTACCTCCACCCTGCTTCCCAGGAAGTATGCTGTTCCTTGGATGATTGGCTATATGGGGTACATGCCAAACGTCTTCAGAATTATGGCTGAAGGTTAAACTTCTACAAAAAATAACACATTTCCCCCACATGTTTTGTGGCGACTGGAGGACTCCTTTGGCGTAATGCAGACTGGTGAAGATGCTCCTTTTTCATTTTTAGCCAAGTCATGTGCAGAAAAGATGGTGGTCACAGGAGTCAGCAGTACCTCCCAGAGATTCCTGTAGTTTCCTCAATGTTAGTAGCTCCTGTTTTCTCCTTGCCCTCTCTTCAATTTTGGAGGTTGCCT